TAGACCATCGTATCTAGCCCCAGCTAAGTGTGTGCCCTCACCATAGCCACCCTTCCTCATATATAGGCTAGTCTTGCCCACCCATTCTCATCTCCCCATAGGGTAGCAAGTTGGGCTCCTTACCGTCACTCGACGTTCGAGAAAACTATGCACTAATGCGTTTTACACCCGATAATTGACCGCTATAGATTCTACCGAAACGTCCAGCGGCATGTCCGAACTCAACTTTAGACATAAATCACCGCGGGTGTCTTCCTATCATTACGTGTCACTCATGCACCTGCATAGAGCTCGCAGCCCTTAACGACCAGAGTGAGCTGATCACATTTTAATTAAATTTTAGATTTCCCCCGGCCTGCTCATCCCCAATAACTTAGATTAACCCCTTGGGTTTCTGTAACTAGCCCTAGTCACCTTAGCCCCTTAAATAAGCACTCAAGTTACTATTTTACTTAAAAATAAACAATATAGTATATATATATATATGTATATATATATATATATATATATATATATATATATATATATATATATATATATATATATATATATATATATATAGGCTATATATATAGGCTATATATATAGGCTATATATATATATATATATATATATATATATATATATATATATATATATATATATATATCTCCAACAACCATAAAAATTAAGAAAAAAATGTATTATTATACACGTTTTATCTTTGTTTTTACAGTTCTTGCCACTTTCGACTATTTTTGCTCAACGCAAAGCCTGAATGCTCCCCCCCCCCCCCCCAACAAGGGAACTTAGCGCAACATGTTATGTTAACAACCCTCAAGTTTTGGTCGGCCCTCGCGCCAAACGCAAATTGTTGCTCAGTGTGGCACAATATGTGACGACAATTTTTGGACCTGCGGCCATAATAATGTTCTTGCTACTCCGTCCACCATCATGGTATAACTTACATACAGACACGCAAGAGTTGGTAGTCAAAGATTTTGTGGAAAGTGTGGGGAGAGTATTGGTTGAATGTTGTGAGGGTGTGGGGAGTATGTGGGGAGAATGTGGGGAGAATGTGATGGGAGAGTAAGGAGAATGTGGGGAGAATGTGGGGAGAGTGTGGGGATAATGTGAGGAGAGTGTGGGGAGAGTGTGGGGATAATGTGGGAGAGTGTGGGGAGAGTGTGGGGAGAGTGTGGCGAGAGTGTGGGGAGGGTGTGGGGAGAGTGTGGGGAGAGTGTGGGGATAATGTGGAGATAATGTGGGGATAGTGTGGGGAGAATGTGGGGAGAGTGTGGGGATAATGTGAGGAGAGTGTGGGGAGAGTGTGGGGAGAATGTGGGGAGAGTGTGGGGAGAGTGTGGGGAGAATGTGGGGAGAGTGTGGGGAGAGTGTGGTGATAATGTGAGGAGAGTGTGGGGAGAGTGTGGGGATAATGTGGGAGAGTGTGGGGAGAGTGTGGGGAGAGTGTGGCGAGAGTGTGGGGAGGGTGTGGGGAGAGTGTGGGGAGAGTGTGGGGATAATGTGGAGATAATGTGGGGATAGTGTGGGGAGAATGTGGGGAGAGTGTGGGGATAATGTGAGGAGAGTGTGGGGAGAGTGTGGGGAGAATGTGGGGAGAGTGTGGGGAGAGTGTGGGGAGAATGTGGGGAGAGTGTGGGGAGAGTGTGGTGATAATATGGGGAGAGTATGGGGAGAGTGTGGGGAGAGTGTGGGGAGAGTGTGGGGAGAGTGTGGGGGAAACTGTCTGGAAACTCTGGCTAGTCTGAGTGGATTCTAGAACTTTCGGAGAAGCAGAATGTGCTTTCCGCTTCCTGTCATGCGTTCACTTCCGGCTCACGTCGGACCAGCGCCAGCGAGACCGTGAGAAACAGCCCTGTTCTGGCCGAGCAGCCGGCTGTACCGGCGAGCGGCATTCCTGAGCCGGACGAACCGGCGACTGACGTATTGAAGCCGGCAGTACCGGCAACTGACACGACCATGCCGGCTAAATCGGCGTCAAGCAGAGCCAAGCCGGTCGTGCCGGTCAGGAGCAGAAGTCACGTGTCTAGCGATGATCACGTGATCGAGATTCGCGAGGTGGGCGACAAGATACAGGTGACGTCACGTCCGCCCAGGCGACACGCGCGGGAGCTGCTCGTCTGACGTCACCTGACCTCATATTATGACGTCATTGGCTCAGCGATAATTGACTGAAATTTCTAACCTGGAAGTGGAAAATCCTTGAACAGATCTAATATGATGTTAGAAAATTAATTAACAGCTAGAATTGGATTAGCTGTCATTAACGAGCAAATGACTTGTTTGGTTGTGACTGGACCGTGATTGACTATGACCCAGCCCCTGTCTGGGAGAGTTGTGGAACCTGAAGTATTTCATCGACTCAAATCTAGACATCAAATGAACACGTTCATACTTTCTAAGATGACAATTGTTGCCAGGGCATGCCAGAAGAGTCAGTGTGTTTTTAGGATTATGATGACCAACCTGATGTTTGCAGGACACACCGCGACCTGAGCCTCCCTTACGTGGCAAACATTTGATTTCTGCTCTCCTTAGTACCATTGTTTCTTGTTTTCAGTTTATTTAAAAACTTTTTAATAAAGAATTTTTAATTTGTTTAATTTTCTAGCAACTTGTAGCTATATCTTAAAAAAAAAATTAGTCCTTCATTTTTTTCCATTTAATAATATCGAGATACCCTACGATTAAAATATTAGCTTAAAACTCAATCAGTAGATTGCGAAAAGACAATAATCTCTTATTAATCGGTGGTCAACTCTGAGACGACAAACCATGCATGACCAACAGCTGACCGCCGTCACCTGACTGGTTTAGTGACCGCCAGTACTTAATCCTGTCATCTCTCTTGTTATAAAATAACTTAATCTTTGAATCCATTTTTAATGAATTATTTAATATCTAATGATGGATGTTTATTGTTATATATGCCATTATTTCTGGTAAAGAATTCAGTAATTGTTCATAGATTTATTATTGCAATTGTGTTTTAAAATCCTGCATAATTACATTTTGTTTCTATTTATTTTACTTAACATTTATTTATAAACCCATTTTGATCTCTTAGGCTAGTTTTAATCAAAGTTAATTTTTTTAAAGAGGATTCTAAAATATTAATATATAGTCTAATTTTCAATAAAATTAAATTTCCTAATGTTTATTTGTTTTTACTTTGTGTTAGTCATTAAATGATAAACTTATAGGTGTATTTGGCTTTTTAAGTGTCTTTTATAAATATCGAATTCGTATCAATACAAATTTGATCTTTTTACTTTAGTGCTAAAGAGCGAAAGCATTTCTCAGCCACAGAGATACAGTGTTAACCTCAGCTGTCATCGCTTCCTGCCCACACATTGTGAATGCTGTTATAAGAATACAGCTTTATTTAGGCAACAATTTAAATGCACAGGTTGCATTATAGAAAACATGAACGAAATCCTACCAGTGACATTCCTAAAATGTGTAAAGTCCATTCGAATGACATGTCACGAATATGACATCCAGCTAATGCTAATCATAGTTTCATATAATTCACATGTATGACTAATGATATCCTAAGATTAACAGAACAAGTTTTTTTTAAATAGTAGGCAATAGTTGTAATGTCAGTATGTCTCATTATTAAAAACGTTAATAGAACAAGTTTTTTTTTATCAGTTGGATATAGTGTTAGTGTTCTTGTTAAATTTTATAAAATCTCAAGAAGTGATATCACGAATCATGGACAACTGGCAGGTGTAGTCTGGGAGTTGTTGTCCTAAACATTCGCTAGGCTGAGTTGGTCACTCTGTGTTCTGTCAAGGGTGTACCGTTCTACTTGATTGTGCGGGGGTTCTACATATACTGTTCCGCAACATTTTTTTTCGAAAAAAAGCTGTATAAAGTAGGACACGGGGGAGGGTAAATCGATCAAAAGTGCGAAATTAATGGACAGCCCCCAATCAGTGGGCGATCAAATATCCTTTTATGTAAGCAGCCTGACCCAACCAGCCGGGTAAATTGTTCATAAACGATGAAGGGTGACATCAGGTGACTTATATGGTTTCCCAAGCCACAGACACAAAGGTGCTCTAGGGACTCGACATCTCGAGGGCTCTTGTGACGTCCATGGTGGTCAAGGAAATTCCTTTCTTGAATGAGTATTTCCATCTGACCAGTTGCAGGACGAAAGGCCTCCACTGGTCATGAGAGAAGAACTTATCAGGATATTCAATTAGATCGAATCCACAGATACATGACCCTAACAATGCTATAGCACTCAAACACAGAAGGTGGCCATTCTCGCAGGACTAGACGACACGTTCCGCTCCGTCAGGCTGTCTGAGCATTCAAAGACTGCAGCAATCAGCTGTGGGTCACCGGACGTCAACTTTTAAAATGCCCGCCTGCCCCTTGCAGCCTGAATGCCTGCTAATGACAAGTCACGCGATTTAAAATGTGTCTCTAATTAACCACAAACAATTACTAACGGGCTTTTGACAATGAGCCTGAATTTAGGCTACACCGTTAAAATGTCAAGCCTATAAAAAACTTAAAACTGACAATAGACCCAGGGCGCTTGCTTCCAAGAAGACATTGACCTTCACATTAGTTGAGATTAATTTTACTCATGTTTTTATTTTAATGTCAGCGAATTTATGATCGAAACTCATTTTTTAAGTTTTCCAACATAGACAGTCTATTACATAAATTATTGTAACATTTCATATTTATATTATTTAATTTCAAAAATTATTTTAGTCTTTTAAAATAAATATTTTTGATGTGGAGCCATTCAACAAAGCATCCTGAACTAACTGTATCGAATAATTCCAACTGTTATTCTATTGTTCAAAGCTTGAGACTATATAAAGAGGTTCATGTATATTTTTTTATTGCTATTTTAATATCGCAGTATTTAAAAGTATAGTCATGCTGCGAATCTAGTCCTATACTTGAATAAATGAAAGAAGGCATATTGAACTGTATGACGTCATAGATAAAGAAGTTGTTTTTTATGCTAAACGATACCATTTTAAATCGGAAGTTTGATTCGTTTTACTGCCGCTTGATTAAGTAAGTCATATTCATGTTTATATTATGTAGGTTGTTTTTCCCTATACGTATTGTGTTTTCTTGTTAATAGGAACTGATTAATTTGTTAGATCGTTTCACATAGATATAGATATAGAACTAGTTACGCCGGTTGGTACATTAACTCTCTGTTGTTTTATTTTTGATCATTATAACTAGATCTAGATTCTAGGTATAACTTAAGGCTTCTGGGACGTTCTCTGCACACGATCGTTCTCTCGGCCTCTCTGTCCCGACCTCTCAGGCAGAACTCTTGTAAACACACCCAGATATTGTGTGGCTCTCTTTCATACAAACATCTGGCACTTTCTGCTATTGTGCTAGTTCTGTCAAGAGAACGGCATGATAAAGTATACATCAGATGAGGGGGTGCTGAAAAAGCACAGCATGATACACTGCTAAAAGAGTAATGATATTCTTTCTGTACAGTCTCTTTGGTTAGTTTTCAATCTAGATCTGTATTGTTGATACGTAGCTGCCAGTGAATACCTCGGGTTCATTGTCTTATGGAATACCTCGGGTTCATTGTCTTATGGAATACCTCGGGTTCATTTTCTTATGGAATACCTCGGGTTCATTGTCTTATGGAATGCCTCGGGTTCATTGTCTTATGGAATACCTAGGGTTCATTGTCTTATGGAATACCTCGGGTTCATTGTCTTATGGAATACCTCGGGTTCATTGTCTTATGGAATGCCACTGGCTATTAAATCATGCAAGAGTTTATTTATTGCCTTACCCCACTACCTTTTTTCCATTAAAAACAGAACGAGGACACCATTGAAGGAATGAACTCTTTGTGTAGATCAACGACCATACCTCTCACCTGTGCCAGTTGGGAGAGGTCACCAAACTCTAGACCACAAACAAATGTCTTCCCCAGTAAGTCCAGGTCGTCAGTTTAACGCTGGCTATCTCACTAACATTCCTTTATTCACAATGTTGTTTCAATGCATGATTTAATTTTTCTTACTTTGCTTTGTAATTGCAATTTTTCATTAGCTGTTCAGTTTACACACACACACACACACACACACACACATATATATATATATATATATATATATATATATATATATATATATATATATATATATATATATATATATATTTACAAGCCAAAACTAAAACACAAAAAAAACCCAACAGACCTCCACAGTCTGTAAATAAATCGACACAAGAAAAGGTTAATCATCACAAGCTATTCTTACTCTTCCATACCCTATTAACATAATATCGTACATTCGTACATCACATTCACAACGTATCACTATCAACTAACAATGAACTTTAAGACAACACCGTCTCTGTGTTTTCTGGTCGTAGTGTCCGGTCGTGTTTCGTTGTGTCCGTATATACGTGCTACCCCTAGAATCTTAGAATGTTCCTGAAGGTCATATCCTATCTGTAAAAGTGTCAGTCGTCTTCCCCGTAGGTTACTTGTTGCTATTCCCGGCCCCGCATCCTATTGTCACGCCACGGTCAGTTTCAGAAAGTTTAGGGGGTCGTAAACTGTAAGCCGTCCTGTAGTTCGCGAACATGCCTTTGTTTTCAATGTTATAGCTTGTCCAGTGCAATGCTGTCAGCGATCGACTTCCTGTGGTCACAGCGATTACGGTCACTCTGGCCACGTCTGAGTTGACAAGCGAGTATAGGTCATTCGACAAAAAAAATCCGCGGGTGGTCACTTCGCGCTGTCCCCAAAACAGCAGGGCCACTGTTGTAGTAACTTACCCTAGTTACATATATACACACACACACACACACACACACACACACACACACATATATATATATATATATATATATATATATATATATATATATATATATATATATATATATATATATATATATATATATATATATATATATATGGTTTCTGCTCACCAGGAGAGTATAATTAAGTAACAAGCAATTTTCTGTTTAATGGTTTGAGCTGTTTTATTTTATTCTATTTGATTTGTAGAAGTTCTGGTTGTAGTGTTGCTGATGTTGATGTTGGGTGCTGCTGATGGGACAACAGAAAGGTAAGAATACACATCACACTAGATTCCGTAGATTCGTTTAGTTATTTTTAGCGCAATTTCCATTCTGGAGAATTGCTTTTATTAACCCGTCATTTCTGGATGTATGAATGGATGAAAGGATGTGTGTCCGCAGCTTTAAATCGTATCTCCTCCTCAACGAAGCAATATCGATGACTAGTTCCAAAAGCAATTATGTTAAGCAAGTTACGAGGATGAGCATAGGCCATAAAAATTCCGGTTTTCTTTCATGTATTTCCCGGAAAAGCCAAAAAACCTCGACAAAATGCAGTTTTTGGCCCATATCTCGGCAACCAGACCACTTAACGACTTGAAACATGTACCAATCGATTCCTGCCATAATTTAGAAAAATATTGCCGTAGAAAGTTTTCAAAAATATCCTTTCGTTCGGTCACAAAATTTTTTTTGAATTAATTAAAATTTGGACCGAATCAGTAGGCATTTTATCCAACCACACCACACGCGTCATCACGTTCAATAGCTGCGCCATCACGTTCAATGACTGCGACATCACGTTCGGTAGCTAGGCGCGTAATGGTTTTTAGTCATGTTACTCTATTGTAAATAAAACATGTAAAATACTGAAAACAAATTAATAAAAAACGTTTTAATAACTAACCAATGGTTTTACTAACCCTGCTCTTGATTTACGCTACGACAGAGCTATTTTTAGATAACATAAGGAAATTGCGCTAAAATTGTCACTAGACTTTTTTTAATTACTTGTTTTAATTGTAGCCGTGATCAGCGTAATTCGTCCCGTAATTCCACTTTTGTTTAGATCTAGATCTTGGTATGACTTATCGGAGCTTGAAAGGCAAATGGAACGTCTGAAACTTTGCTTAAGTGAAGTAGAAAAGCAGGAAACCCGAGCAGACGATAAGGCCAAGTACTCCTGTGATGTAAACCGTCTGTATTGGCTACTAGGCTATTATGAAGAAGCTGCCCATGAATTAGCAAAAACCAACCCTGAAATTAGCCGTCACATCAAGGAAAAGAAAGCAGGGCGCAAGACTTTTGTGTGTCGATTTGTTGCGCTGTTTATTGGTATGATATAATTTCTATAATATAATTTTAGAAGGTAGCTTTTGGGAATTGGGTGGGGGGGGGGGGTGGAGCTGTTTGTTAGTGCAAATATTTTTGTGTAGATATTGTTATGGTAGGGTGTTGCCTAAATGGGACGGCGTGGCCTAGAGGTAGAGAGCTAGACTGCTAACCCGAAAGCCTCGAGTACAGATCCAAGTTCAAGTCAGTAGAAGGCGAACACCCAGCTGATCACATTATCCCCTCATATACCGAGGTCGTCTGAAACAGATGAACTCTACTTCATCTGTCCCATGTGTCTTGGGCACGAACGGTAATAGAAGAAGAAAGTAAACTTCATTATTGTTCAAGATGGCTTAAACAATTCAAAACTACATTAATTTACCCTTAATTTAATACCTAATTTAATTATCAAAATTAATAGGTAGCCTAGAAATTGACGTTTGAATAAACGCGTTTGTTTTTAAACGGCTACGATAGTATGACTGACAGTAGGACTGATAGTATGACAAATAGTATGACTGATAGTATGACAGATAGTATGACTGATATAGTTGGGTCAGTTTGTAAGGAACGTGTTGTGACGCGATTAGCGTCTCAGCAAAATGTACGGGTTACTTGGCTGTTGTCTCAGCAAAATGTACGGGTTACTTGGCTGTTGTCTCAGCAAAATGTACGGGTTACTTAGCTGTTGTCTCAGCAAAATGTACGGGTTACTTGGCTGTTGTCTCAGCAAAATGTACGGGTTACTTGGCTGTTGTCTCGACAAAATGTACGGGTTACTTGGTTGTTGTCTCGACAAAATGTACGGGTTACTTGGCTGTTGTCTCAGCAAAATGTACGGGTTACTTGGCTGTTGTCTCGGCAAAATGTACGGGTTACTTGGCTGTTGTCTCAGCAAAATGTACGGGTTACTTAGCTGTTGTCTCAGCAAAATGTACGGGTTACTTGGCTGTTGTCTCAGCAAAATGTACGGGTTACTTGGCTGTTGTCTCGACAAAATGTACGGGTTACTTGGTTGTTGTCTCGACAAAATGTACGGGTTACTTGGCTGTTGTCTCGACAAAATGTACGGGTTACTTGGCTGTTGTCTCGACAAAATGTACGGGTTACTTGGTTGTTGTCTCGGCAAAATGTACGGGTTACTTGGCTGTTGTCTCGGCAAAATGTACGGGTTACTTGGCTGTTGTCTCGGCAAAATGTACGGGTTACTTGGTTGTTGTCTCGGCCCAGGGGAAAATTATATACAATAATTAAAGTTTTACCAATTGATGATCTGCTCGACATGATCAGCCAAAACAAAGTATATTAAATAAACCGGTAGTGATCTCCCCTAAACTTTCTCGAATATTCTTATATAAAACAACAGGGGATGGTAACTGGGGATATAGTTATGATTTTTAATCCATTTTAAATACTTAAACTTTTAAAAATACAATAGAATCTCAGTAAAAAACAATTGCGCACCAAGCGAACGCCTAATAAAGGTGTGTATAATAGTGCGCAATAGTATTAGTACTTAATAAATTTACATTAGTTTTTTGAGAAATCGGAAGTAGCGTAAATTACTACTTCCGGTCAACGGAAGCTACTCAAAATTTAACATAAGGTAGAGAATTAGATCTTATACTTACTTGTGGAATTTCATTTATCTATCTGAAATAGTACTCAAGTTATAGGCTTTTGAAAAATTCAAAGTAGAAAAAGTACCACTTCCGGTTATTGGAAATCGCTCAAAAGTTGATACGGATCTACGATTTTGATAAAATACTTATATATGAAATTTCATCAACCTAGCTGTAACGGTACTCAAGTTATCGTGTTTACACACGGACACACACACACAGACACACAGACATACGGACAGAATTGCAAAGCCCAGTTTTTCAGACTGGATTACGCATAAAACCTCTTAGTTTTGATAAATCTGGATTGATAATTTTTGCCCGATTAAAATAAGTCCTCTAAACTTCGGATGTGATGAAGGATTGAGGTGTAATACGGTGAAAGATGTTAAAATTTCAAGTGATTTTTGTGCACGATTACAATACTTTCTCTATACTTCGTATATACGAGAAAGTAAAAAAGCACGCTTACAACAAATACTAAATATCTAGTGCTAAAACTTGATCGGTCTCGTTGAATAAAACGCAAAAAATAACAGTAAAAAGTGGGCCTATGTGTTGTTGAAATGACGATAAACCATTGTTACAAGTGGGCCTATGTGTTGTTGAAATGACGATAAACCATTGTTACAAGTGGGCCTATGTGCTGTTGAAATGATCATGAACCATTGTTACAAGTGGGCCTATGTGTTGTTGAAATGACGATAAACCATTGTTACAAGTGGGCCTATGTGTTGTTGAAATGACGATAAACCATTGTTACAAGTGGGCCTGTGTTGTTGAAATGACCATGAACCATTGTTACAAGTGGGCCTATGTGTTGTTGAAATGACGATAAACCATTGTTACAAGTGGGCCTATGTGGTGTTGAAATGACGATAAACCATTGTTACAAGTGGGCCTGTGTTGTTGAAATGATCATGAACCATTGTTACAAGTGGGCTTATGTGTTGTGGAAATGACCATGAACCATTGTTACAAGTGGGCCTGTGTTGTCGAAATGACCATGAACCATTGTTACAAGTGGGCTTATGTGTTGTTGAAATGACTATGAACCGTTGTTACTAGTGGGCCCATGTGTTGTTGAAATGACCATGAACCATTGTTACAAGTGGGCCTATGTGTTGTCGAAATGACCATAAACCATTGTTACAAAAGGCCTAAGTGTTGTCGAAATGACCATGAACCATTGTTACAAGTGGGCCTGTGTTGTCGAAATGATCATGAACCATTGTTACAAGTGGGCTTATGTGTTGCCAAAATGACCATGAACCATTGTTACAAGTGGGCCTATGTGTTGTTGAAAAGACCATGAACCATTGTTACAAGTGGGCTTATGTGTTGTGGAAATGACCATGAACCATTGTTACAAGTGGGCCTGTGTTGTCGAAATGATCATGAACCATTGTTACAAGTGGGCTTATGTGTTGCCAAAATGACCATGAACCATTTTTACAAGTGGGCCTATGTGTTGTCGAAATGACCATGAACCATTGTTACAAGTGGGACTATGTTTTGTTGAAATGACCATGAACCATTGTTAAAAACTAAAACCAGTTATCTTCGTTTTCGGTGGCCATCATTACCATGACGACGGCCAAAAGTAGGTCAAGCGACAGCCTATGTTTTAGTTTAGAAGGTTGTTTAATTGATGATTGTTTTAATCCACAGGAGCAATCTCGCTCTATTGGTTACTGCTGACCATGCTAATTCAGCCCAATCCTTCTCTCTGGCTCGTCCTAGTCAATTGGGTCAAAGGAACCGGATGGATGTTTGTTGTGATATATGTCTGCCATTTTTTCTGGCAAAGGATTCAGTAATTGTTCATAGATTTATGCTTGTAATAGTGTTTTAAAATCCTGTATTATTACATATTTTGTTACTATTTATTTTAATTAACATGTATTTTTAAACTTTTTTTTTTATATCTTGGGCTAGTTTTAATCAAATCTAAGTGCTTTTTAAAGATGTTTTTGAAATATTTATATAAAGCATAATTTTTAATAAAATAAAATTTGTTTATTTGGCTTTTTTTCTTTTTATTATTCATTAAATGATCAATTTTTATGTGTATTTGCTTTAAATGTCTTTTAGAAATATCGAATTGTATCAATACAAATTTGACCTTTTTTATTTTTGTGCTAAAGAGTGAAAGCATTTCTCAGCCACAGAGATACAGTGTTAACCTCAGCTGTCATCGCTTCCTGCCCACACATTGTGAATGCTGTTATAAGAATACAGCTTTATTTAGGGAACAATTTAAATGATTAGGTTGCATAATAGAAAACATAAACGAATTCTTACCAGTGACATTTCTAATGTGTGTAAAGTTCCATTCAAATGATATTTCACAAATATGACATCCACAGTTTCATATAATTCACATGTGTGTCTAATGATATCCTAAGATTAACAGAACAAGTTTTTTTAATAGTAGGCAATAGTTGTGGTGTCCGTATGTCTCATTTTTCAATACGCTAATAGACCAATTTTATTTTTTTAACAGTAGGCAATAGTTGTAGTGTTCTTATTAAATTTTCTAAAATCTCAAGATGTATTCACCAAAAAATAATAATTATTGAACCTTTCCACCCCTCCAATAGCTTTTTACAAAAATCTTACATTTCATTCACAACAAAATAATTGGGACCTCCACACTCCCCCCTTTAACTATTCTAAAATCTCACAGTTCATTCACCAACTCCCCAGAAAAAGTGATATCACGAATCATGGACAACTGGCAGGTGTAGTCTGGGAGTTGTTGTCCTAAACATTCGCTAGGCTGAGTTGGTCACTCTGTGTTCTGTCAAGGGTGTACCGTTCTCCTTGATTGTGCGGGGGTTCTACATATACTCTTCCGCAACATTTTTTTCGAAAAAAAAAAAGCTGAATAAAGTAGGACACTGGGGAGGGTAAAGATAATCGATCAAAAGTGCGAAATTAATGGACAACCCCCAATCAGTGGGCGATCAAATATCCTTTTATGTAAGCAGCCTGACCCAACCAGCCGGGTAAATTGTTCATAAACGATGAAGGGTGACATCAGGTGACTTATATGGTTTCCCAAGCCACAGACATAAACGTGCTCTAGGGACTCGACATCTCGAGGGCTCTAATGACGTCCATGGTGGTCAAGGAAATTCCTTTCTTGAATGAGTATTTCCATCTGACCAGTTGCAGGACGAAAGGCCTCCACTGGTCATGAGAGAAGAACTTATCAGGATATTCAATTAGATCGAATCCACAGATACATGATCCTAACAGTGCTACAGCACTCAAACACAGATGGTGGCCATTCTCGCAGGACTAGACGACACGTTCCGCTCCGTCAGGCGGTCTGAGCATTCAAAGACTGCAGCAATCGGCTGTGGGTGACCGGACGTCAACTTTTAAAATGCCCGCCTGCCCCTTGCAGCCTGAATGCCTGCTAATGACACGTCACGCGATTTAAAATGTGTCTCTAATTAACCACAAACAATTACTAACGGGCTTTTGACAATGAGCCTGAATTTAGGCTACACCGTTAAAATGTCAAACCTATAAAAAACTTAAAATTGAATATAGACCCAGTGCGCTTGCCTCCAAGAAGACATTGACCTTGACATTAGTTGAGATTAATTTTACTCATGTTTTTATTTTAATGTCAGCGAATTTATGAACGAAACTCATTTTTTAAGTTTTCCAACATAGACAGTCTATTACATAAATTATTGTAACATTTCATATTTATATTATTTAATTTCAAAAATTATTTTAGTCTTTTAAAATAAATATTTTTGATGTGGAGCCATTCAACAAAGCATCCTGAACTAACTGAATCGAATAATTCCAACTGTTATTCTATTGTTCAAAGCTTGAGACTATATAAAGAGGTTCATGTATATTTTTTTATTGCTATTTTAATATCGCAGTATTTAAAAGTATAGTCATGCTGCGAATCTTGCCCTATACTTGAATAAATGAAAGAAGACATATTGAACTGTATGACGTCATAGATAAAGAAGTTGTTTTTTATGCTAAACGATACCATTTTAAGTCGGAAGTTTGATTCGTTTTACTGCCGCTTGATTAAAAGTAAGTTAAATTCATGTTTATATTATGTAGGTTGTTTTTCCTTAGACGTATTGTGTTTTCTTGTTAATAGGAACTGATTAATTAGTTAGATCGTTTCACATAGATATAGATATAGAACCTAGATCTAGGTCTAGAACTAGTTACGCCGGTTGGTACATTAACTCTCTGTTGTTTTATTTTTGATCACTATAACTAGATATAACTTAAGGCTTCTAGGACGTTCTCTGCACACGATCGTTTTCTCGGCCTCTCTGTCCCGACCTCTCAGGCAGAACTCTTGTAAACACACCCAGATATTGTATGGCTCTCTTTCATACAAACATCTGGCACTTTCTGCTATTGTGCTAGTTATGTCATGAGAACGGCATGATACAGTATACATCAGATGAGGGGTGCTAAAATAGCACAGCATGATACACTGCTAAAAGAGTAATGATATTCTTTCTGTACAGTCTCTTTGGTTAGTTTTCAATCTAGATCTGTATTGTTGATACGTAGCTGCCAGTGAATACATCTAGTTCATTGTCTTATGAAATACCTCGGGTTCATTGTCTTATAGAATACCTCGGGTTCATTGTCTTATGGAATACCTCGGGTTCATTGTCTTATGGAATACCTCGGGTTCATTGTCTTATGGAATACCTCGGGTTCATTGTCTTATGGAATACCTCGGGTTCATTGTCTTATAGAATACCTCGGGTTCATTGTCTTATGGAATGCCTCGCGTTCATTGTCTTATGGAATGCCTCGCGTTCATTGTCTTATGGAATACCTCGGGTTCATTGTCTTATGGAATACCTCGGGTTCATTGTCTTATGGAATACCTCGGGTTCATTGTCTTATGGAATACCTCGGGTTCATTGTCTTATGGAATACCTCGGGTTCATTGTCTTATGAAATGCCTCGCGTTCATTGTCTTATGGAATACCTCGGGTTTATTGTCTTATAGAATACCTCGGGTTCATTGTCTTATGGAATACCTCGGGTTCATTGTCTTATGGAATACCTCGGGTTCATTGTCTTATGGAATACCTCTGGTTCATTGTCTTATGGAATACCTCGGGTTCATTGTCTTATGGAATGCCTCGCGTTCATTGTCTTATGGAATACCTCGGGTTTATTGTCTTATAGAATACCTCGGGTTCATTGTCTTATGGAATACCTCGGGTTCATTGTCTTATGGAATACCTCGCGTTCATTGTCTTATGGAATACCTCGGGTTCATTGTCTTATGGAATACCTCGGGTTCATTGTCTTATGGAATACCTCGGGTTCATTGTCTTATGGAATACCTCGGGTTCATTGTCGTATGGAATGCCTCGCGTTCATTGTCTTATGGAATACCTCGGGTTTATTGTCTTACTAGGCATGCTGCCCAGCTTCGCTTAGGCTTTCGAAAACATTGAGAATTTGAATGCTTAATTAATTCGCCCGAAGGTCGGTCTACGACCTCAAGAGTTATGAAGAGGTTCCTCCGTGGACATTTTTTTTCGATTTATAGCTCATATAAGGTACCGGTCAGTCGAGGTCAGTTTTGACCCCCACATCGTAGACTTTTCGGCCAACCGGCCCCCGTGTTCTGTCGCATCAAGGCAAGATCATGCCAAATTTGAAGCGCCTGCGGCGCCGGGAAGTGCCCTATTGGACACCCGACAATCTAGATCTAGATCTAGATTTCTAAAAGAATTTTTTTTTTAAGTTTAGCCCGAGCATAATAAAAAATAATACATTAACCAAGTTGACTTGCTGTGTCTCGAACCCGCACCACCTGCGTGGTTTAATATACACTAACAGCTCCGCTATTTAGGCAACTTATAAAATACGGAGAATGAAACACGTATTTTAAAATCTTAACTTACGCGAATATGCCTATTCTTTCAAATTAATTTTTTATCCCAAATTAGCCAGTTCCAAACAAAGATTTTGTATAAAATAAATAAGTCTTGAAATAGTTTAGTCCTAATATAGAAATTTATTTTTGGAATTGATTTTAGAGAAGTTAGAGTCTAAATCTAGATCTAGATCTTAGCGTCTACGTCTAGATCTAGTTATTGCGTAGATTTAGATTTAGATTTAGTCTAGATCTAGAATCTCTAGATCTAGAATCCAAATAAATAAATTTTATGAGTTTAGGCCGGAAAAATTGTATTGTATACATTTCATAGTGTACGTAGATCTAAATCAAATTTGAATGAAATAGTTCATTTCTTTTCATTCAAAACACAGCAGATGACGTCATTAGTTAATGTATAAGCAATAGCGACGTCACAGTTTTATGCGTTCTTTTTCACATGTATTAATACTTTTCCGGTTGCATAAATAATACTGTTTCTCTACATTCGAATACGCCTTTAATTTTTATTTTTATTCTTTAAGTAAAATTGTGGTTATACATTTAAAACATCTAACATATTATTTTCAACAAAAGTCCGTAAAAAGTTCTCCATATATCGCTGCCGATTCTGACGTGATGTCCGGCGAAAATTTTTTGCGGACAGAGAAAGAGAGAGAGAGAGAGAGATGTGCGAACGTGGGGATTTATATATTAGGATAGAATACCTCGGGTTCATTGTCTTATGGAATACCTCGGGTTCATTGTCTTATGGAATACCTCGGGTTCATTGTCTTATGGAATACCTCGGGTTCATTGTCTTATGGAATACCTCGGGTTCATTGTCTTATGGAATGCCTCGCGTTCATTGTCTTATGGAATACCTCGGGTTTATTGTCTTATGGAATGCCTCGCGTTCATTGTCTTATGGAATACCTCGGGTTCATTGTCTTATGGAATACCTCGGGTTCATTGTCGTATGGAATACCTCGGGTTCATTGTCTTATGGAATACCTCGGGTTCATTGTCTTATGGAATACCTCGGGTTCATTGTCTTATGGAATACCTCGGGTTCATTGTCTTATGGAATACCTCGGGTTCATTGTCTTATTGAATACCTCGGGTTCATTGTCTTATGGAATACCTCGGGTTCATTGTCTTATGGAATACCTCGGGTTCATTGTCTTATAGAATACCTCGGGTTCATTGTCTTATGGAATACCTCGGGTTCATTGTCTTATGGAATACCTCGGGTTCATTGTCTTATGGAATACCTCGGGTTCATTGTCTTATAGAATGCCTCGCGTTCATTGTCTTATGGAATACCTCGGGTTTATTGTCTTATGGAATGCCTCGCGTTCATTGTCTTGTGGAATACCTCGGGTTCATTGTCTTATGGAATACCTCGGGTTCATTGTCTTATGGAATACCTCGGGTTCATTGTCTTATGGAATACCTCGGGTTCATTGTCTTATAGAATACCTCGGGTTCATTGTCTTATGGAATACCTCGGGTTCATTGTCTTATGGAATACCTCGGGTTCATTGTCTTATGGAATACCTCGGGTTCATTGTCTTATAGAATACCTCGGGTTCATTGTCTTATGGAATACCTCGGGGTCATTGTCTTATGGAATACCTCGGGTTCATTCTCTTATGGAATACCTCGGGTTCATTGTCTTATGGAATGCCTCGGGTTCATTGTCTTATGGAATACCTCGGGTTCATTGTCTTATGGAATACCTCGGGTTCATTGTCTTATGGAATGCCTCGGGTTCATTGTCTTATGGAATACCTCGGGTTCATTGTCTTATGGAATGCCTAGGGTTCATTGTCTTATGGAATGCCACTGGCTATTAAATCAGGAGTTTATTTATTGCCTTACTCCACCACCTTTTCCTCTATCAAAAACAGACCGAGGACATCATTGAAGGAATGAACTATTTGTGGAGATCAACGACCGTACCTCTCACCTGTGCCAGTTGGGGGAGGTCACCGAACTCTAGACCACAAACAAATGTCTTCCCCAGTAAGTCCAGATCGTTAGTTTAACGCTGGCTACATCGCTAACTTTTCTTTATTCACACTGTTGTTTCAATGCATGATTTAATTTATCTTACTTTGTTTTGTAATTGCTTTTTTTCATTAGCTGTTCAGTTCACACACACACACACACATATATATATATATATGTATGTATGTGTGTGTGTGTATGAGTGTGTGTGTGTGTGTGTGTAGTTGCTGCTGACCAGGAGAGTAAAAGTAAGTAACAAGCAATTTTCTGTTTAGTAGCTTGACTCTTTTATTTATTGTATTTGTGTAACGACCCGTAATGGTGCGGAATGGTAGTTCATGTGTAGGTTTATTATTAGAATCACGTGGTGTTGCTGTTGTGAGCCTAACTTTATGTAATGCTTTTTTTCCCACGTTTTCTTTAACTAGCTTTCGTGTCTTTCCAATCAAATCTTGCGATCGAAATTTCGGGCACTTCCCAGTTAGCTAGCGCGCTGAAATTTTCAGGGAAGCTTTTTTTCCGATGACAATAGAATATTCAATTGTTATTATTACTGAATTGATCCATGGAAACATTTTATTGATCATTTTAGATCGCTATATAATTGTACAAAAAACGTGGGGGAAAAGGGACATAACCCAGTAATTGTAATTTGATGAAAACTAGGTTCGGTACTCTCCCTCTTTTTGCTTACTAAGTAGTTGTCACGCGGTGTTTGTGTACAAACAACCAGAACGTAACAACTGGTGGCCAGTAAGGGGGAGACGATATGGTCCAGTGGTTGGGCACACGATTGCTAATCCACTCGACACGGGTTCAAGGCACGTGTTTTTTACGAGTTGTCTTCGTTTACCCAAAAAAGTGAATGCGAAAAGATAAAATCGATAGCAAGATTTTAAAGCAAACAAACAGACAAAGACTAAAAAGTAGAAAATAATTATGATTAAAAAAGTTTTTAAAAACCCACGTTTTCTGATTGAACTAAAAAGTAGAAAATAAATGCTATACATCACAATAATGCAAGCGATCACTCTACTATAAGCGATGAAAAACGTGGGGCGCCGTGATTTTCTTTCAGTTTCTAATACTGTTGACTCTCTCTACAAGCTCCCTAATAAAAGTCAATAGTATTATCTAATCAATAGTAATATAACTTTTACATCTTATATTAGCAATGACCGATAAAAAACTTTTACTTCGGCGCCCCACGTTTTTCATCGCTTATAGTAGAGTGATCGCTTGCATTATTGTGATGTATAGCATTTATTTTCTACTTTTTAGTTCATTCAGAAAACGTGGGTTTTTAAAAACTTTTTTAATCATAATTATTTCTTAAAACACATACTTATCTGTGTTGACATTTTCTTTTGGACATCACTATACATAACCAGAGCAACGCCTACCCGATAACGGCTAATTATATATATATATATATATATATATATATATATATATATATATATATATATATATATATATATATATATATATATATATATATATATATATATATATATATACTAGGCTGGTAACAGAAACAGTAAATAAAATGTTAAATGTGTTATTTGGCATAGTATATTTTAAATTTTGAAAAGCTGTTTTATTTTATTCTATTTGATTTGTAGAAGTTCTGGTTGTAGTGTTGCTGATGTTGATGTTGGGTGCTGCTGATGGGACAACAGAAAGGTAAGAATACACATAACACTATATTCCGCAGATTCGTTTAGTAATTTTTTTAACTGTAGCCGTGATCAGCGTAATTCGTCCCGTAATTCCACTTTTGATTTGATCTAGATCTTGGTCAGAATTATCCGAACTTGAAAGGCAAATGGAACGTCTGAAATTTTGCTTAAGTGAAGTAGAAAAGCAGGAAACCCGAGCAGACGATAAGGCCAAGTACTCCTGTGATGTAAACCATCTGAATTTTCTAGTAGACTATTATTATAAGGACGCTGCCCATGAATTAGCGCAAACCAATCCGGAAATGCGCAATTACATCACGAAAAGGAAAGCATGGCGAAAGACTTTATTGTGCCGATTGATTGCGCTAGTGATTGGTAAGATATAATTTATATTATATAATTATAGAGGCTAGCTTTTGGGGATTGGGTTAGTGGAGGGGGGAGGTGGAGCTGTTTGTGAGTGTAAATATTTTTGTGTAGATATATTGTTATCAGTGTTTCTTCCAGACTTTTTTCTCTGGGGGTACACTTGAAATTTTCGGGGTGGGGGGGGGGGGGGCGGACACTGTTAAAAGTATATATTTTATATAAAAATCCCCCCCCCCCCGAAGAGATGCCTGGAAGAAACTCTGATTGTTATGGTAGGGTGTTGCCTAAATGGGACGGCGTGGCCTAGAGGTAGAGAGCTAGACTGCTAACCCGAAAGCCTCGAGTACAGATCCAAGTTCAAGTCAGTAGAACGGCGAATACCCAGCTGATCACATGATCCCCTCATATACCGAGGTCGTCTGAAACAGATGAACTCTACTTCATCTGTCCCATGTGTCTTGGGCACGAACGGTATTAGAAGAAGAAGGGTGTAGACTAAGATTGTAAACTACCCTGCTCCCGCAATGCGTGGAAGGGGTGGGGGAGGCCCGTTTATGGGTCCCAAAATCCGACCAAAAGGCAATGACTTTGTACTTCAAAACAACGTTTTTGTGCAACTTGATAGTGGTTTTATAAAAAGCAAACAGATCTACCACAGTAGTGATGTTCTACTGTAGCCAACACACGCTTCTGTGGAAAAGAAAACAAAATCTACATGAGCTGTAGTGTAAAAGATAGGCAAACGTTCAAACCACTTCCATGACTTATTTCCCTTTTCTAAATAATCAAATAGGGGCACCCTTAAGCTCCTTTGAATATTGTTGTACTAAACAAAGTAAAAAGCAATTGCTTCTTTTAGTTATTATTTTTAAAAAAAAACAACTAAAGAATGACATAACTATTAAATGGTATTTATTTAAATTTAATAATTTAAATAGAAAAAAATACATAAAACTAAACATAACACGACAAACATACTAAGTTTTCATGTTTCATATTCTTTTGACCTGCTCGCGAACAGGAAACATTACACTAGATATAAAATAAGATACAAAGATTTTCATAACTCGATCAGGCCCGAAATTAGATATATTCTACCACAGTAAAGAAATCGAACGCACAATGTGCCTATCTGTTGTTGAAATGACCATGAACCATTGTTACAAGTGGGCCTATGTGTTGTTGAAATGACCAAAAACCATTGTTACAAGTGGGCCTATGTGTTGTCGAAATGAACATGAACCATTGTTACAAAGGGCCTATGTGTTGTTGAAATGACCATAAACCATTGTTACAAGTGGGCCTATGTGTTGTCGAAATGACCATGAACCATTGTTACAAGTGGGCCTATGTGTTGTCGAAATGACCATGAACCATTGTTACAAGTGGGCCTATGTGTTGTCGAAATGACCATGAACCATTGTTAAAAAACGAAAACCAGTTATCTTCTTTTTCGGCGGCCATCATTACCATGACGACGGCAAAAAGGTAGGTCAAGCGGCAGCCTATGTTTTGGTTTAGAAGGTTGGTTAATTGATGATTGTTGTACTCCACAGGACTATACTCTCTCATTGTGCTACTGGTAAACACGCTCATTCAGCCCAATCCTTCTCTCTGGCTATTCATAGTCAATTGGGTCAAAGGAACCGGATGGATGTTTGTAGTGGTATATGTCCTTCATTTTTTCTGGCAAAGAACTCAGTAATTGTTCATAGATTTATGATTTAAAATCCTGCATTATTACATATTTTGTTACTATTTATTTTACTTAACATTTATTTTCATACCTTTTTTAATATCTTGGGCTAGTTTTAATCAAATCTAATTGTTTTTTAAAGATGTTTTTTATATATATATATATATATATATATATATATATATATATATATATATATATATATATATATATATATATATATATATATATATATATATATGGTGACAGGACAAATGATCTCAGGACAAATGATCTCAGACAAAATATCTCAGACAAAATATCTCACGGACAAATGATCTCAGGACAAATGATCTCAGGACAAATGATCTCAAGGACAAATGATCTCACGGACAAAAGATACCAGGACAAAATATATCAGGACAAATGATACCATAGACAATTGATCTCAGACAAAATATCTCAGACAAAATATCTCACAGCAAAATTTTAATAGTGTATTGGATTTAGTTGATCTGAAAAAATTTTCATTGAATGTCATATGGTTTTGTTTACTATGTTTAATATTGTTTATAGGCCTATATAATAATTGTGAGAAATGTTTACCGTATAAATTTGTCATATTTTACTAAACAATTAAAAATTAAGATTTCTAATATAGTATGCGAAGATTACATAATTTTTTTCGATAGATAGCGTAGGTGGGCTTGCCAAACATAAGACAATCCTACCACGTCAGGTAGACGAAACTAGATCAAAGGGAATGAAATAACAATAAAGACACACCTTCGTGTCAAGGTGGCCGCCCACTTTGATAGCATAGACACGCCTTTAGGAAAAGACAACCGCCCTACATGGACAATACAACTAACATCTAAAGTCCATTGTTATGCGTCGGTCACACCTTAGTGATCAGGTGACACAAGCTTATGTTAAACAAACAGCGGTCATCGCGGAGCTAAGTTTGTCTTACTGTGCATGAAAACAAAGCAGTATTGGTAGTGCTTACTCAGCTATGGCCTCATAAGTTACCTAGCAGAAATATTTTGGGGCATTAGTTTCTGGTGAATTTGTTTATAAAAGCCAGAAGTGTAGTAGCAGTCAAAGAGATTTGGAAATGTGAAGTTAGAACATGTCGAGCTAGAGTTAACACAATACATGATCACATAGTATTGGAGAGGTGTGATCATAACGATGTAACTGCCAGCAAAGAAAAGCAGACGTTATGTTTGAGTTGACGCAGGAATAAAAACAATAGTATTACGTTACGAACCTGAAGACCCATTCACATTTTTCAAAAATATTTAGCGTGTTCTGATCATTCATGTTATTTTATTTGATTTATACATTATCATTTATTATATCTTTCAGGCTAAACAAGTACGTTTGTTTTGATTTTAATTTTTCAAATCAAATACTTTTACAAAGATTAAGTTTTATAAATCACTTGATGCTTTGTTCAGTTAAACAAATTAATTTTATTCAAATTTATTATGCGTTAAAAATTAAACAACACTATATTGAAAATTAATTTTAAAAAGTTCAAATCAACTAAAACCTTCCAATACACTATTAAAATTTTGCTGTGAGATATTTTGTCTGAGATATTTTGTCTGAGATCATTTGTCCTTGAGATCATTTGTCCGTGAGATCATTTGTCCTTGAGATCATTTGTCCTGAGATCATTTGTCATGGAACCATATATATATATATATATATATATATATATATATATATATATATATATATATATATATATATATATATATATATATATATATTTATATATATTTATATATATATAGCCTAATTTTCAATAAAATTCAATTTTCCAATGGTTTTTTTCTTTGTATTAGTCATAATATGAAAAATATTTAATGTGTTTACCTAGTGTCTTTCAAAAAATATCAAAGGCGTATTAAACAAATTTGTCCTTTTTTACTTTTTCGTATACAGAGTATAGAGGAAGCATTGTAGTCGTGCACAAAAATCATATGACATTTTGTGAGTTTTCATTGTTTTACTTCTCAGTACTTCAACATAAACGGAGTATAGGGAACTTATTTTAGTCGGGCAAAAATTATAAATGGAGATTTATGAAAATCTCAGCGTTCTATGCGTAATCGAGTCGGAAAAACTTGGCTTTGTAATTATGTCCGTATGTCCATGTGTGTGTATGTTTGTGTCTGTGTGTGTCTGTGAACACAATAACTTGAATACCGTTACAGCTAGGTTGATGAAATTTCATGTATAAGTATTATACGAAATTTGTAGTTCTGTGTCAACTTTTCAGCTATTTCCGGTAACCGGAATCGGAACTTATTCCACTTTCATTTTTTTCAAAAAACTAATATGCATTTATAAAGTACTTATATTCCGCACTATAATGCAGTATGTATGTAATTCACTTGGTGCACAATTCTTTTTTTTCTACGAGATTCTATTCTATTTTTTAAAAGTTTAAATAATTAAAAATTGATTAAAAATCATGTCTATATTCCGAGTTGCCATCCCCCGTAGTGTTATTTAAAAATATTCGAGAAAGTTTAGGGAAGATTACTCCCGCTTTATTACTTTAAAATGGTTACTTGCTTAGTTAAGGTAAGTTTATTTACATTTTTATTTTTCACTTGTGTATAAAACATTTATTACTTTAATATTTTTCATAGTTAGTCATTTTATTAATTAAAGTAAATCTAGAAAACTGTATATTTACTTTCTCGTATATACGAAGTATAGAGAAAGTATTGTAATCGTGCACAAAAATCACTTGAAATTTTAACTATTTTCACCGTATTACACCTCAGTCCTTCATCACATCCGAAGTATAGAGGACTTATTTTAATCGGGCAAAAATTATCAATCCAGATTTATCAAAATTAAAAGGTTTTATGCGTATTCCAGTCTGAAAAACTGGGCTTTGCAATTCTGTCCGTATGTCTGTGTGTCTGTGTGTGTGTGTGTCCGTGTGTAAACACGATAACTTGAGTACCGTTACAGCTAGGTTGATGAAATTTCATATATAAGTATTTTATCAAAATCGTAGATCCGTATCAACTTTTGAGCGATTTCGGATAACCGGAAGTGGTACTTTTTCTACTTTGAATTTTTCAAAAGCCTATAACTTGAGTACTATTTCAGATAGATAAATGAAATTTGATATGTAAGTAAAAGATCTAATTCTCTACCTTCTGTCAAATTTTGAGAATTTTTCGTTGACCGGAAGTACTTATTTACGCTACTTCCGATTTCTCAAAAAACTAATGTAAATTTTAAAAGTACTAATAATATTGCGCACTATTATGCGCTTTTTTATTCGCGTTCACTTGGTGTGCAATTAATTTGTCTACGAGATTTTATTCTATTTTTAAAACTTTAAGTATTTAAAATGGATTAAAAATCATGTCTATAGCCCGAGTTCCCATCCCCTGTTATTTTATATAAGAATATTCGAGAAAGTTTAGGGGAGATCACTCCCGGTTTATTTTTACACCATATTTTGGCAGCTGTAAATTGTAGATGTAAAATAAAATAGATCATTATCAGTTCAATTTAGATGTTAGCTTTCACTTACTAGTAGACATAGGATAAATTTTTTTTTTACCACCTACCTCAAAATGAAAGCATTCCATCTGACCATTACCTCGCTTGTGCTAATGTTACACTTGAATATCCAGTAACCAGCAGAATTTCTTGCAGTGTTTCAAGTCATGTTTATTTATGTAAGCCCTGCTAGGGGGGGATACCTTAAAATCTACCCTTCTAGGCTTATCTAACTAACTAATCTGTCCGGTCAGTGCAACTGTGGTAGAACCCACAGTGGTTAAACCCTAACCTTAGTCTAAATTAAAAAAACAGGAAAACTTTAACAATAATATAAACTTTATTTTACAAAATATGGAACCAAAAGTTATTATAAAAAAACTAGAATTTAGATCTAGACAAAATAATTTAGACACTCAAGACATACAAAATACAAAACAAACAGAACTCAACGAAACAAAACACCCAATTTCGGACCACCGTCCATACACCACAAACGTGACACAGAAACTCTTCAACACATAGGCCTCGACATTCCAGCAGAATGTCCCTCCCTGTCGACACCCCACATTCACGAACAAAGAAACCAATACTACGAACAAAGAAACCAATGCTACGCACAAGAAAATAGTCCCTAATACAACAATAACTTACATTCAGGATATAAAGCAAAGTGGAGCCACACTCCAAAACAAAGTTTGCATAAATAATAACATCAAAATATAAGCAAGACACAATAACCAGGCTATCAATCATTTAAAAAAAAAAATCATATCAGCGCCATAATAGCGGACTACTTAACTAAAAACCACAACAATTCTCAAAGGAACACAAAAAGTGACATTCACCTTTTTGTAATAAAATAATAATTAAATAACTCCCCAGCCCCTTACATTCACCCCCTGTAAAGCTTGCAGTACCTGCAAGCAATACAAATTCAAAAATGCAGATACCAGACATGTGAACAGAACAATGTTAAAAAAATAGGTGAGCAGATTAAAAGCGGGACACATTATTATGTTGCCATAACAGTTACGGGCTATGTGGCCCAGCTGGTGACATTTGAAGCAGGACCTGGTCCTCACAGTCGGTCTCTGCTTGTCGGGTGCAAACCGCGTTCCCCTTGGGGAAACGAGAGCAGAAATACTAGAGATTTGTGCTGCCAAATTGTCTACTCTGTCCTCCAGGTTGGATGTAGTGGGAGGTGCAAATGTTTGCACATCAGGCCTGGTGTTTAGAGTTGTAACACTCTTAGATTTTCTGCCTGGGCATTCGTCCTGTGCCCACCTGATAGCCGCATCCCTCAGGACAATAAATGACGCCTTTTGGTCACAGAAGACCATTTCTTCCAGCTGACGCCTAACAGATGGTTGATTAAGGTTCTGAACAAACTGGTCTCGCAGGAAGACTGGACTCACCGGGGCCCTGTGCAGGTTTTCTTGCCTGGCTGTGAGCACCCTAAAGGCTTGGTGCAGACGGTGGGAATAAGACCTCACTGTCTCGTTTGGGCTTTGCACCACCCTTTGAAACTGGGCCATTAGTAGGGGGATGGTACGCTTTTCCCCGTAAACGTCCCTCAGGA